TCACCATTCTTTATCATTAGTTTATTGTTATTAAAGTACATTTTAAAGTAGTAAATTGAAACGAAATAGTGCTATAAAATTGTTAGGATGTATCCTATGGCTAGAGTTAGGCGTTTGCTCTATTTTATACTTTCTTAATCATCATTTTGCATCCCCACTGCAGGGGTTCAGGCCTCTCTTATGGATGTTTAAGGAGGATGGAGTATGACTCTCCACACTAGACCAATGCGGATTGGAGGGTGTTAACGACTGCAAATGCAGCAAATTTTCACAATAAATTCGCATTTCAATAGTCACATAGTATGCATTTTTTTTAAATTTCTCATTTACCTACCAAAAGAGGACTCCATATTTAAAATTTATTTATTTGCGATACTCGACCGTCTTTGGGTGGCCCACTTACAAATATGTAGGTACCACATTTCAATTGCATCGGTCCAGTAGTTTCGGAGCATTAATAAGACGTGACAGTGATAGGCGGATGAACATAGACACAGATCACACGAGTATGCTGTAATAGTTCCTTCTTTTAATTTCGTGAATTGATAACCTCATAAGAACCTTTTTGCAGTCGCTTAAAAAGTTAATTATACTCTCATGTTAAATTCCTTTCCTAAACTGCAATTTCAGATTCTTTTCATTCTTTAATTACTTACAGAAAGAGGATGTTCCTTAGAACTTCCGTAATAATTATTCGAAATGGAAATATAAAGGAGGTCGCAAGTATTTCATGAACTGAAAAAGTATTTTTGCTTTATGCGCCGTAACGGTGTCTACATTGATATATAAAGAGAAAAATATTTGTTTTTTTTTTTAATTAATTAAGCAAAAGAAAATGACCGAGTCGATTTTTAAATTTAACTTTGTCTTTGAATAAATTTTGGGCATTGTAGGTTCTCTTCCATATTATTATTTTTATCACTGTAAACATTGCACGGTGTGTTAGAAACCCCGATTATGTAACAACATGTTTTATTATACTTGTCGATAATTTATAACATTTTAAGGAATAGACTAAAACTCCGAAAAAATAATAATTAAAAAGCAAGATATTTATTTTAAATTTGAACATATACCTAATACACTTATATTGACACACAATCTTACATTGTTTGCAGTCTTCTGCTGCGAATTGATAACTTAATATTTACGTTTTTATCATTTTCCTTCTTTATTTTGTTTCTCGAGAGTAGATAATAGCGTATTGACCTTCGATCAATTGTATTGTTGATCGAAGGTACCTATTAGCAAAAATTGTTCGTACATTTTTTATTAAGAACATTTTTCAGTATAACATTATAAATGTTAAATTGAACAAACATAATAATTAGAGCAAATTTTCATCTTTATCGAAAGTTGAAATATTTGTAAAAATATTTCTTTTGGCTGTTTGGGTAGATTTCCTAAACATTGATGAAAATACGCTCTGTACCAGCGAAAAAGAAGAATAAAGAATAAGGAATATAGAAGAATAAGAGGAATACATTATCTACGGATTAGTATCCGTATATATTATATTGATTAATACTATTATTTATTTTAATATGTAGTTAATGAAATGTAGGTGTGATGATAATATCCGGTTGCTATGCAGGAATTTTTATGTATGCACTGTAAGAACTACAACAGAGCGAGGTGGTGGTGATACGTTTTAGACTTTAGCCTGTGTATTAGTACCTATTAGTGATATCACATCATCAATGTTTCCCATTGCTGGGGCACAGGTCGTCCCTATAGATGCAATCAAGTAGGGAAAATGGGCTACAATCCACCACACAAACTGTGCGTAAAAGTTCCTTGGAAGACACGTTAACATAAGAATATTACTCTTTTTGCACAAACGCACAAAGGCGGATTTAGTGCCTGAGGAATTTCGGATTAATATAAAAAGCGGGAAGCGAAAATAAAACATCAAAATATTTTTTCACATTTTTTATTAATTCTTTTATGTAATCGTCAGAGTTGTACAACTAAATAATCACAGTTGAACCGAAACATAACTTTAATTATATATAATTAATGTCTAAAGAAAACCACGTGGGTGAGTTGCTTCGGCGGCGGTGGCCTACGGCAACAATATTTCGGTGCTGTTTTATTTTGTACTGGGGTTGTGTGCTCTGCGGTCAATTTTAGTGTGTTGCATTGTATTAAAATAACGTCATAAACTACCCTCTCGTTACATTGAAACTTTATTACTTATTCCAAACATCCCAAGAGGGTGGTTCAACAGTTTCAGACACTAGATCGTGTTAAATTGCATTTTAAAACAGAAATCAGATAAATCCTAACACGTTGTGCGACTATAAACTATTCATTTTGCAATTAGATTTATTAGCTTACTAGCAAGGAGCATTTAATCCCTGTCATAGTCTTTGGTATATAAATATATAATATCAATTGTTTTTCACGATGTAGAACAGTTCTAATAAATATATATATAGAAAATAATCCAATCAGAATGTTAGGTAAGTATCAAAACAACTGCATGTTAAAATATCGGAACGCAAACTCGTCGCCCGGGGCGTGGCGTGTAGCCGCACAGCTGTCACCAGCGTTAATCATGGAAATAACTCGCGAATATTGTTTTTTTCTCTCCAGCGGTCATTTGTATTAGTAAATAAATGAACAACCGAAACAAAAGACGATAAAGTCTCTAGAAACTTCCACAAGAGACAGGGATAAGAAACCGTTTTATAAAATATTCACAGAGATTTATTATAGATTTAGTAGACTGTCCTGCACACTGTTGATTTTTGTGAATACAATTTATGCGGGCAATTTTACAGTTTTAAAGGAGAAGAACCTCGATATATTTTTCTTTGACTTACTCATGAATTTCTACTAAAACCATTGCATTTTGCTAGACGGTGAACATATACAGACACTGCAGAGCTTTTTAGCGATAATAAAAATAAGAAAACACTGAAAAATATCACTTTATAAAATAGTCCAAAAATTTACAATATAAATATTATGTATAACACGACAGAAATATAAAATCGGACAGAAATCACTATAGTAGTTTCGTTTTGGTATATGTGTGATACTGGCAGTGTAATGTCAATTATTAAATAACGTAACATAATGCAAACGGGATGTTATTTTTCAGTCTAACTAGGTCTCAATGTCTACTTATAAGAATAGTAATTATCAAGAATTGCTTTATTACGGATGAACTTTAGAGATTGCTTTTACATTATTCGTTTTCCGTGCAAACTAGTGTAACCTTAAGGTATTCAAGCGTATAACCAAACAATTGAACTTAGTAAAATCTTAGGCTTCCGAACGCATAATAAAATCAGTCATTTTAACTCAATTCAGTATATTCTATAAATTTATACACTGATCGTAAATCAATGTAGATGTGAGACAGTTCTTAGAACCAGATTTTTTAATTTTACATTTATATTACTTACATATTTTTAATAAAAATTCTTATAAATTAATCTATAAATTAGTGACTTCTAACGGTTTCGAATAACTATCTCACGTCGACATCGACAGGGTAATACTCTAGCACAACACTCTTATCTTATTAAGTTATTGATATTTTCCTAGGTGCGACTAAATTTAATATGTAAACATACGAATAAATAAAGTGCGAACACTTAAGACTACCGACATTAGCTGCATTGTAATGCTAGTAAATTGGCACTGTCCCATTCATACCTGCGCAAGACATGAACAACTGTGGCGCGCACATTCATACTTGCTTATCAACGACGCATGCAGACGCAAACAAAATCGCATAAACTCAATATCATACTTATTTTCTCAAAACTCATTAAAAAGACGCACATTTATTTAAAATATTATAATATAGCTCCTTTTCAAAATCGGCCCACGCTTGTAATAAATCACTCTCGAATATACAGGGACCACAGACCCAGCGAAGGATCGGAAACGTAAACATGTAAATTAAAAATAAACTACAATACCCATGTTTCGTTAAACCTTAGTGAGCTTAAAATTGTCCCATTTAACATGTTTATATTTTGTTGTGAAACGATGCCATAAAAAAGGTTTTAAGCAAATAAAGAGAAGCGTCCATTTAAGTGCTAACCTACGTCGCCAATTTTTCACACGTTCAAAACATCGATCTCACACGACATTCACATTCGCCTATTATACACATTTATTCGTTTGCTCCAACTAAAAACTCCCCGACGATCCGTGACTACACAGCTTACCTATTATTACTAAGAGTAGACCGCAGTCGTTCAAGACCATTCTAATTAATGTTTCTAACACTACATGGAGACACAGGAGACCGCCAGTTACTGTACATTTCACTTATAATTTAAAGTTGAATTTATGACGATAATTTTTATATTTAGCTAAATGTATTAGGGCTAGTTTTCTGTTATTATTGTATTTACATGCCCCTGCTTACATTTCAAATGAGCATTAGAAACTCGATGTCCGAATGGACCGTTTTTATCGTTATTATAAAATATAATTACTTATATTCTTTTACATAGTAAATAATTGATTTAATGCTTAAGGGCCATTATGTTAGTGTAATCATGTAAAGCTGTGGACTTACAAAATACTCGTATAAATTATTCACATTTATAGCACACTATCTACAAACACCCACGATTCAGACTCACGACTGGCCCTCCAGCAGAAATCCGCTTAACTCAGTTACTTCAAATAAAATACTGACTCATAATATGGCTAATCGAATAAAAACTTATATCAAATATTTGGTGAATATATACGTTTTAGATTTTATAAAAAATGACGCAATTAAATAGGTTATCTTAAACGAGTAGGTCCTTAAGCTAAACATTTTAACTACAAATAAAGTCGTATAAAATTGATAAGAGTTTACGTTTGCGCGGTGTGTGGTTGCCGCTTATTTACAAAATTAAACTCCATGGTTTAAGTTAGGAGCGTCTCTCCAGGTGGCAGCTGGGCTGGACATATTGTGGGTACGATGGTGGGAGACAATTGACTTAGGGTGCGCGTTGGCGCGGAAGGGACGCGGGACACGCCTACAGTTGTTCGTCGAGGTCGGGTCCGTAGAGGTCTGCAAGCTTGTCGAAGCGAGGTCCCCACGCGCCTAGGTAGTCATATTCGTGCGTCTCATCGTCGGTACCTAAACGAAAAAGAAACACAAAATTACGATAGTACTATTCTTCCAAATCAAAACAAAAATAAATACTTATTCGAATATAACGTAAGAAACAATAACTGGAAGACTACGATATCTATATCCTCCAGACAGTACCTATGATATATTTGTGTACCGACGACAAATAAATACATGTGTATTGTGTACAAAACGGCATTAAATCATGTAATTGTTTACACTGATGTATTTAATTACTTCAAAAAGAATAGATCTAAAATCTATGGACAGGCATAATTTTTCTAATAATATAGCATTTGTGAAATTGTGTAATATGTATTGTATTGATTATTAGAATTTGTGAATTCGTACTATTGATATTTCTAACTTAAGTATCTACTAAACATTAATGTAAATAAAGCTTTATTTTGTCAAAACATGAGGTAGGCATGAGTAGGCTTACGGTTATCGACAGAGGCTTAGATTAAAATTACGCCTACTTATGTACCGTTACGAATTACATATATAAAACCAATCTATTTTAAATTTTCAACTCACAGGTCATTTACCAAGTTAAATAGTCTGAGTGAGAAATCGATTAATGTGGGATCATAACGAATACGTTTTCTTTTTTGGCTAATAATTTAAATTTGATAATTTTTATGCAAAGGTATTCTTTTATATTGGTATATTTCTATGCTAATTAGATTTTCATGTTTAAACACAATTATTGGTGGCAATCGTATTTACACCGTTTTGAATTGGAGTATTGTTCTTTGCATCTAATTATTATTTTTAAGAAACCAAGAAATAATTTCTTTTAATATAAAAAATGTAGAAGCTCATATCTAATTCACATACTTCAAAAATAATGATACCAATAAATGAATAATTTGCAAGAAAACTGGAAGAGGTTCAATTTTTCGCTTCATACATTGTGGATGAACCGCCTCTGGGTACCGTCATAAATTTTAAATAGAAGTCACGTTCGGAACCCAATCGGCTTTGATGACGATGAGATACCTATGACCACATATGTAAGTATTGTTGTTTATGTTCTAATAAGTCTATACAATACATATATGATTTATTTGTATACTGTACTTGGATTTCATAAATACAACAATGAAATTCGGTTCAGATTTAGACACTCAATAATATTATGTTTTCGTCACTAACAATGAGATGATCACCACTACCGATAGGTTTAGGTAATATTTTAGTAAAAATCTCGTTATAATTATTACAGACCTTATCAGCAAAAAATTTCGAGAAAGAAGGAAAGAAATTTCGAGTACTCGAGATTTCTTCTTAATTGACAGTTATTAAGCTACCAAAGTTTTTGTCCAGTAATTTTCTGATCATAAATAATGAAATTAATCAATCAAGTTTGATGTTGGTGAAACTTATTAATAGCAAAAAGTAAAGGAATTTCGAAATCAAGTTTTAAGAAAATCAGTCAATGTTAGTGAAATGTATCAAATAATTTTGTAAATGAATTTCTTTGTTATTTTTTTATTTTGCCGATGAACCCGTTGTGGCAAATTGCACAGAATTTTTCAAATTTCCCAATTTAACGAGCAAAATTTAAAATGTTTCTAATCGTTACAACAAACGAACATTACAAAAATAACAACCAATGAAAAATACGTATATCGAATGCTTAATTGTAAAGTTAGATAACATAATTGAATTATATGTATATGTAATTTTTTTAATTTGTAGTTTTAAAAGTAAGATATTTCATATTAATTTCAACGTTTTAAATAACTGAACATTTTACTGACCAGAAGCGAGGGACGATAGTGAGCCAGCAGTGCTGCCGCCTCCTTCGTACGCGTAATTACGCAAGTCATCAAAGGGCGGTGCGTTCGGATCGCTGTCTGCACGCCGCTTATGCTCTTCGATGAACATTCCAACATTGGTCTCGCCTGGCAGGGGCACGCCCACGCCTGGAGCCACACCTACGCCAACACCCATGGGACCAACGCCAAGTCCAACACCCATAAGTGGATCTGAAAGTAATACTTCTATGTGATACAAGTATTAACATGGTAATGATCACAATTTTTTTAGTTCCATAATAATTTTGGAAAATGAAATTTTAAACGGCTTATTACTAGTCAACAGTGAAGTTGATTAGTACATTTCTTGGTATTTGGCATAACAGACTTAGTATAATCTTTTTTTTGATAGGTATAACTTTGAAAAACAGATACAAAAAACAGAGACTTCATTATGACTATTCATTTATTTCGGTGTAATAGAGATTAAGTTATATTTCAAAGTGTTACTAAATAGGAACAGACCATTATTTTACATTACACACATTTTGAAATATACTTAAGAAATATATTTAAGTAAGATAAAAGACGATACTTTTTGTTATTGAAATGATAATGTCTCTATCTTCAATTAAACACAAAAAATATAGTGCTAAGAAAAACTCCGTTTCCGTCTTTGTTCTTCTTCGAATTTCAAGTAAATAAGGACTCCTATTCTTTCCATTGATCTTAGGCATAATCATATTTAGAATGACTATCAATTGGCCGAATGTTTGTATATTTGATTATAAGGATGGTATAATTTGTTTTGAAAAAATTATGATTATATGTAAAATGTTGACTGTGACCTTTCTGTAAAGCTTGGTTCTACTATTTATTTACTATGCATATAAAATGTCTAAAGATAATTCTAATAGACAAAATTATGAGTTTTTAATGTATGCATGGAAATTAAGATAACGCCATTCACTCTTATGAACTGCGTAATAATTACTCCGTAATAAGTAACATTATGGCATAAAAAACTCTGCCGAAAATAGGACTCCATTTGAAAGGACATGCCGCTGTTAGGACATTTCTTAGTTTATTTATTTATTTATTCATTCAACAAAGTTTCAACAGCAGTTTTGTTACTTCTATACAAAAATAAGTATGCAGCATTGACGCCAATTATAGAAACTTATTATGTTTACAAATCTTATTAATTATATAATCATAATGAGGGCAGTTAACAAAGAAAATGCAAGTATTAGAAAAAAATATACATATTTATAAATTATATCGCACGACAAATTAGGTGTATGTATGTATGTGTGTGTGTGTGTGTGTGTATGTGTTTATATGTTTAAATAAGGTGTGCGTATCTAGAACTTCAATTCATAATTACGTAATTAACTCTAAAGACGGGGCCAAGTTGAACGCACGGCGACCGCGCATCGAGTGGGTAAGGCAGGCAAAGATACCTACGATACAGAGGCACATTCTACTGTCGGGCTTACATGGCGCGAGTAACAACAACTCAAACAGGCAATGGCTCGTTAAGAACCATTAATAAAATCAACTCGATTACGTATAAATAATAAAAATAATAATTATAACAACAATAAACAATTACAATAATAGAACTAACTAACAATAATAGAACTAACTAACAATAATCATCTCAATTCATGACGATCCGCACTGACAGATCTGACCAAAGCGGCCCTAAATGCATTTCTGGACATAGAGAAAGGTCAATTCCGGAAAAGCATTTATTGTAAGTTCTAGGTAATCTGACTGTCACGTCATTGGCCTCATAGTTTGTTCTTACAAGGGGTATATGACATAGTTCCGTGTGTCGCGACCGCTTCGTTGGTGCATTCAAAGACACCATTCTGTTAACTAACCCGATGCAATCTAATTGTCCCGAATAGATATCGTAAAGAGTGAGCATATCTCTTATACGACGCCTGTCCCTAAGACTAACGAGACTGTGTTTACTACAGGACTCCTCGTAACCACTTGAGATATAGTTGAGTCTGAAATTCAAGTATTTTACGAACTTCATTTGTAGTTTTTCAAGAGCGTGTTCGTGAGTGACATATTTTGGATTCCAGACAACACTACAATATTCAAGAATAGACTGTACATACGCATAATACAATACTTTCATACAAGTGGCGTCTTTAAACTCCTTAGTTACTCTAAAAATAAATCCGAGATTTTTGTATGCCCTGTTAATTATGTTTTCGAAGTGATTGGCAAATGTTAACTTTGAATCCAAAATCACTCCTAGATCCCTTACCGTAATAACCCTTTTCAGCGGTTCATTATTTAATTTATAATCATACTCTATCGGTTGTTTACGTCTTGTGAATTTGATATGCATGCATTTCCCAGTGTTAACTGTGATCTTGTTGTTAATGTAATATTGTGTAAGGCGATCAAGGTCCTCTTGTAGTTTTAAACAGTCCTCATGTGTACTTGTTTCCATATAAATTTTAGTGTCGTCTGCATAGAGTAAAATCTTAGCATGCCTGAGACAGGCGGTTATATCACTAATGTATGCTATGTAGAATAAAGGACCGAGCAATGAGCCTTGTGGCACACCGGAGGGTATACGTATGTAATCCGAGCGAACTCCTCCAATCACCACAGCCTGTTTGCGGTTCGATATATAAGACTTTATCCACCGATACAGATCACCGCGTATTCCTAAGTAATAAAGCTTTTGCAAAAGTATGACATGATCCACGCGGTCGAAAGCTTTTTCGAAGTCCGTGTATACCACGTCAACCTGCGACTGGCAGCCCATACCGCGGCGTAAGTCGCTAACGAATAAACTTAAGTTTGAAGCTGTTGATCTTCCTTTTATGAAGCCGTGCTGTTCACAGGGTATACCTTGCTTTAAAATGGGGTATATTCTGTTGTATACGATTCTTTCTAGACATTTTCCGAATACGTTTAAAATAGAAATAGGGCGATAATTCTCAATTCTACATTTGGAGTCTTTTTTGTGTATTGGAACTATATGTGCCTCTTTCCATTTTGTCGGATAAACTCCCTCGACAATACAACGATTAAAAATTATATGTAATGGAAAAGAGAGTGCCGCGGCACACTTAATTATAAAGGATGGTGGAATTTCATCACTACCGGCGCCCTTTTTTGCGTCTAAGGCAGAGAATTGCCTTTGAACCTCAGCTTGGGATACTGAGAAGGAATGAATCAACTCATTCGACCTGTGCGAAAGATTATCCCCATCGGAATAACCTCCTGTGGCTGAGTGAACAAACATACGCTCAAAGTAACTATTGAATGCCGAACAAATGGTTTTAGTATCAGAAAATTGCATATTGTCATAGTTCATTGTACTAGGATAACCCGTTTTGTGCTTACGCTTGGAATTTACGTACGACCAGAGTAGTTTAGGGTTGGATTTCATGTTTTCTTGACAAAGCGTTAAATAATTTTGATAACAACTATTTTGAATAACTTTAACTCTCTTTCTTAACAAGGAAAATTCATCGTAATCAAGTGGATTATTGAATCGTTTCCAGCGACGATGCGCCTTTTGTTTTTCCCTCAACAGATGAGTCAGTGCACGGCTGTACCATGCCGGATATTTATTAGAAAGGCTGGTATCGACACAAGGAACGTGCGCATTGATGACCTGATGCAGAACTGAGTATAGGGCATTGACGGAATCGTCAACAGTGCCTGATGACAACATATCCTCCCATTCAGCATTATGTAACTCCATATTAATAGTGTCGTAGTCGGCTTTTTTATATAATTTTCTTTTCCTGTTGCACCTAGATAAGTTGCTCACCAAGATATCGCTTGCATCGATATTTAGAGTAGTGTGTTGTGTGTCTTCTTTTACCAGAGCAGAGGTTGATATGCAAATATTCACACTAAAATTAGTAAAGAAAAGGTCAATTGTGTTACCTGCGCTGTTAGTGAAAACATTACTCTGATGAAGGCCCAGAAAATTTGTCTTGTTTACTAAGGATATTCCCGCGTTTTGTAGCTCGACGCAGCCTTTTCGCAGATACGTCGGACCAGACTCTTTCCACACTATATTAGGTAAGTTAAAATCTCCGGCCAATATAAACAGATCATGATCACTATTAAAAGTATTAGCAACATTGGTAATTAATTGTACAAAATTATTAATTTGAGACGGTAAGGCACGTCCTGGCGCCATGTAAGCCAACGCTATATGCAAATCTTGTTCTAAGCCTATTGTGTGGCCGTCTACGGTAACCCACACACACTCAACATGATCGCAATGCCACTCGACGCGTGCGCGCGCGCTCAGTCGTCGGTTGCACATGATCATGACACCGCCTCCATTCGATCCCCTATCACGGCGGAATATCTCATACCGATCATCTCCTAATTCGGAATCTAAAACGCTGTCGTTTAGCCACGTCTCTGTAATTAAAATTATGTCATGGTCCGAGAGAAGTAGGTTATTATAAAATTCTAGTGTTTTAGTTCGGAGACCACGAACATTTTGATAGAATATGTTTAATGTGTGACCGAAAATTCCAAATCAGTATCTAAATATATAAACAAAAATGATAGTTTAAAGTATAGATAATATTTAATATTGTTGGTGAATGGCTTATGATCGATGGTACCGAAAAGTGAATAGTAGATTTTGATAGGTGCTAAAGAATTGAGTAATAGTTTTTTATGTTTATACTTTCTGTTAGTGGATAGTGTTATTAGTTGTATATATGTATTGTTAGTGTTAAGTAAGTATGAAGTGTTATCGTGCGATGAAATTGCGATAAGGTAATGAGTGAATTCAATTAAAATATAAAAACAAGCAATAGATAGTACTAACAATGGCTGGTATATATGCACTATATAATCTTCTTCAGGTCGTCCTCGCAAGATATTAGCAAATACGGTGAATTTTCGGCTTTCCTTGTATATATACGGCAGTTTTTTGTCCAAACGAATTTGTAGTTGTTAGTTTTAGCTTTTTTTTACAGCTTGACAACAGTTGCTTGTTATGTATTGTTAAGTGTTCGTTAATGTAAATATTTTTAAGTTCACCCTGCATTCCAATATCCCTGGACGTGATTCCTCCACATTTGCGAGCAGCTGACAATATTGCGTCCCTTTTATTTCGGTTTTGAAAGCGAATCACTAAGCTTCGTGGTTGTCCTTTGACCTGCCTCTTTGCTTGTATACGATGAATGAAATCCAATTCATGAGGATCAAGGGGCACATTAAGATGTTTGACTATATTATTCAAGACATCTGGTAAGGACTCCTCTTTAGCCTCTGGGACGCCCACTATCTCGATATTTTGAAGTCTTGACCATTGTTCCTGTCTTAATGATGCCTCTTCCATGTTATTTAACTTGGTTTGAAGCGTTTTAATCTGATCATTAAGGTTTTTATTTTCAGTCTGTAATTTTTTGACAGAAGATGTGCTTTTTTCTACCGTAGATTTAATACCGTCATATAAGTCGCTTACTGTTCTGACGGTTTTTTCTAGCTCTAAGAATTTACTTTCCAATGCTTTTGACACCGATTCCGTAACTTTAGCGAGGAAGTTAGGTAACTCACGGCGAAATACTTGTTCCAGTTCTGATCTTATTGTTGCTAGAATGTCGTATGGCTTTTCCTCGTCAACAGAGCCACTCCCGCTGACCGCCGGTGGGTTACGCGAACGGCTTTTGGTGTTCACAAACTCTTCTTCGCTACATGTGGTCTTCACTGGTGTATCAGAATTATCTCCTCGGCGTGTCTGTTTTATCTTACATGCTGGACATACCCAAGTTGATGATGGATTCCCTTGCTTATTGGGAACACAAGCAAGGTGATATTGAAGCTTGCATGCGGGTCTTGAACACGATAATACGCTTTCCTTTTGCTTTATGTCACTATCACAGGAGTTGCACTTCACCATGGCGAGATAATGTATGAAAAGTTTCACGAGAAAACTCAAAATAGCAGTAAATTCTATTACGTATACTTCAAACCGTGATTGTTCTAATAAGAGACAACGTTTCTTGATCCTTAATAGAAGAAAACTTAATTTTTAATGAAATAAATGTAAGAGCTATTGTTTCTGTGTCGACTACCCGACAATACCAATATTAATATATTAATAGTTAAACCAATGATAAGAGATCTTGGATCAGACACTATAAAACATACATATTATATCTATTACAATAACACGTATCTATACGATGACACATCTGCGCAAGACTTATCTTCAATCATGGAATTTAAAAATCTGACTCGTGCGAGATAGAGAAATGTGTCCCTCGGCAATACTCGCATTACATAGTAGGCATGTGTTTTATCCTCGCGTAAAGTATTTATCGATAAAAGATAAAACGGTGAGCTCCTTTTAAACAGAGCAAAAATATTACTATATTTTTTTTATATATATTTCATTTCTTTTTGACAAGAATAAATAGGAATATAGAAATTGATAAGCTTGGAAACCATATTTTCCATTTTTCAGAATCAGAATTGAATTATTATTTTTATTTTATTGTCCAAAATACATATCTTTACATGTTCAAATTTACATGACACAAACGCACCCTAAAACCCATTCTAGTTTATTATTATATAATATTAGTATATTTATTCTTATTTAGAATTTATTCAGTTTGTGTCTTTATTTAAAATACAATAGAAAATATTAATTTTGCTCGTAAGCATTTTAATAAATTAGTGTTGAATAGCTACGGAATCCAAAGTAGATGTACGCAAAAGCAATTTTCACCGATTTTTGTTGATCTGAAGAAATGTGACATTCTTATTGGATTCATGGTTCACTGGATCGCAGCACGCACGACGAAACTGCTTTATCGCAAAAAATATTTCCAAAGGCATTTTTAAATGTTTAGAAGTATGCTGAGTTCAACGAATCCAAGAAATTTAAAAAGGATTATTCAAATATATAAAGATTCTTCTTTTATTTGGCATGTCACTGAATGTCAAGTTAATTTGCTTAAGAAAAAGAGCCACAAAAGAAATAATATGTTAGAAGTACCTCGTAGTAAAGATAGCTCGTGAATAAGTAGAATCTCATGTACCATATTACCATAAGTATTATATGTATTACAATATACGCAGTGAACTACTTTTGCATTAAGTGCGACATCTTCAGATTTCAGTTCGTTTTGATTTGGAAGTTTTCTTCATGTACTTATATTGTATTAACAATATATATAACTTACATGGTAATTTAGTAGGTGCATGATCAGGTAGCGGTCCTCCAATAGGAATTTGCAGAGGGGTGATGTCGAACGCAGTCATGTCATCTTCACCGCCACCTTCGTCATCGTAATTGATAATATTTTCACGGACGTCGTCGTCAGGTCCTGGGTACTTTATATGAGCTTCTCGTCTTCGATTGTAAACAACGAAGACCAGCACCAAAACTGATGGAAAAAAGTAACATTTAATTTTCTTCGTCGTCGTACTGAATTAAATTATTAAATCGATTGTTTCCATGTCGTCTGTCCTTCTCTAATGTAAAAGGAGGATAGAGCACGATGAATCTGTTTGAACGAATTTAACGAAAATTGGTTTTCAGAGTACAACCCCTGGTCTTCGCTATTGTTAGCAACACGTTCTTTAATATTGTAAATGGTAATCTAATAATAATAAATGACTAACTTGCTACAACGCTCTCTTGTTCATTAAATTGTGAACTTCGCTATATTTCCGTCCTCTACTTGAGAGGTAATGACTTAAAGGGTTTTGGAAACATCTTGAAATAAATTAAGGCTTGAAAGTAAGTCTAAATATTACCTAAGAAATTCCGATGCTACAGAAATATCGTAATTGGGCAGAAGAGGAAAGCTTAGTCAGCTACAGGGGATCTTTGAAGTTCAAAGTTGTTCAGTATTCGTCTCACGTTCGAGTGTTGGGGATATGATCGATCATACCCTACGAAGCGGGAGTCCTCACTCCTCGACTTTAAGTATTGATATTGAAAGATTTAAAAAAATATGTTAATTTCCATCCAATACTCTGAGATGTGCGACATAAGGTGGATTTGAAAATTTCATTTGTAATTTGCTGACTTTTTAGACATTGAACGTATAGTATTGGTTTCTTATACAGTTTAGTATTTCTCTATATTTTTAATAGATCCGTAGGTATAGTATGCAAACAAAATTATAGTTTGAATACGGTATAAACACTCATAACTTCCAGTAAGTATTTGTATATACTCTAACAATAAAGCTTTTGAAGTAATTGAAAGCCCATTTCGAATAAACCCAATTGGAGAGGGAATTGGAGTCCATTATGTGGTTTATTTAAAGGCATAATATTGTAAAAGTAGCACTTTTGGTTTTTACAAATTCAAATGATACCAAGTTAAGATGCAACTTGATTGTATGTACTTTATTTTTTATCAAGTGTGATGTTTCTATACATTTTTAGGATTGTAAAACTTATCAATGTCATAGTAACACTACTTAGTTAAAAATATTTATGTGTTGGATATTATCATTCATTAATATTTAAATTCTTTATTCTTGTTATGAATGTTCACCCTCCACAATCTAATTTATGATATTACTTTATTGCAATGACTGTTTGTACCAAAATGAACAGAAAAAGAAAATCCCTCTTTCTGCCTTTCTTTTTCACCTATTGTGTATGATTGGTTTCGGCCTTTGTCTTTCCTTTTTTTAGTATGGTTTTAAAGAAATTGTCTTCTTAGATTCATTTTTAAGCAACGTGATATTGACATGCAGTTCTTTATTACAGTATGGACTTCAATCGAATGGCTTGCACAAGTGTCACCATCTCTGAAGTAGCAGTGTAACGGGTCCGGAGAACATGTTGATTTAACCATATAAACCATTATTATTTATATAAGAAACATGTGAACGTATATGATATCTACGTGCAGTATCTACTTATTAAGAAAAACCCAGAATTGAGGTATGTAATTAACGGTTAGTTGCACAAACATCAATTAAGTTTTAATGACGCCTTTAAGCTCTAATCAATGTCGAATTTGTATGGGTAATGTCGCCTTAAACTAATGACAATTTTATTTAAGGTTTGTGCAACTGTCGATAAGTGTTTTATTTACATATGTAGGTATTATAATTTTCGGAATCCATAGCGAACTGTATTTAATTTTTTTTGTTATTACAGTTTTATTATTTTTACCGTAAATATACTTGTAAAGCCTAGTCAGCCTTTTCATTAAACTACCAACATCGGAGCTAATCCGGACCCGCTACAGTAGTACTATTTTTAGTGAAATCAACATAGAAAATGACCTTTCCCTATCAAAGACTGGGTTTCGTGGTTGCATTGTATAACACAAAGGATTAGTTTGGAATCTAAGCAATATAATATGAAGTTGTTTAATATTTATTTAAATCTTAATATATATACGTAAATATTTTTTATTGCTATTGTGCATATAAACTGTTCTCTTAGATGTCAATAAGTCAATTACGTTAATTATATTTCTTTCGATTGGAGGATTCGATTTATCGAGGTCATTTGTTGTAAGGATATTTGTAATAACAAAGATAAGATTTAGGGTTTCAATTTCCGTAGGATATTTAATAAAGTGGGAGGGATTCACGAGGTTGTCGTGTAGATAGTAAGAAACTAATCTATTAATTCATTCGGTTCGGTGGAAACATCAGCTGTATTTATTGGATAAACGTACAATGTATTAATAGTTGTCTTCTGTTCCATAAATCTAAAATGAGTTTCTACACTTGCGATTTTTGGCTTCCGTTGTAAGAAGAATTGTTTCATTGTATTAATGGACAAAATTACACTATTTATTTTATACTGAAACATAAGTACCTATTTTATAACTATATCATAAGTATTTATATTATTTTGATATATTCCATCAATACCCAGCAAATGCTAAAAAATAAATGTTAAATTTTAAACAGTTACTCTATTGTACACAAAGCACAAAATGTCTCTGTTCGTCGGGATCTATACCTAAATATTAAATTTTAAAATAAATAAATTAATAAATGGTATAGGTACTTACGAACAGAGACATTTAAACTGCTTTGTGTACAATAGAGTAACATTTTTTTTAACATTTTCTGGGTATTGATATAGGTATTTTCGAAAAAAAAATCTACAATACAATGAAGTGGTTCATATGATAATTAAAATAAAAAACCGCATTGGATATGCAAATCTGGGTACTAACGAAAACGACATACACTTTTGTAATGATCAAATTAAGTATATGGCATGCAAACAATGAATTGAGGTGCTCACCCAAAAGCATAAATAAACAGACTATTATAGCTATAATGAAATCCCTTGACGGTGTAATGACACCGGAGGCGAGCAGCTCTAGTTCGCAGTCGTGGCCGGTGTATCCGAACGTGCACACGCAGTCGTAGCGACGCGCTGGCTCGCGGTCGATACAACTGCCACCGTTCAGGCAGGGGTTTTCCAAGCACTCGTTTACGTTGGCGCAAGTGCCACCAGCTCGGACCGAACCGCCGGGACACCTAAACAACTTTACCTGTTCATCTGTCCACTGCGCACTGAGCCCCACAAGCATGCTCTAAACATAGATACTACTAATAGGCTACATACTATACATATAACTATAAATGGAGGGTGGTGAGTGCGAGGGTGATAGTGTGATGATCTAGCTGGACACGCGGGAAGCGTGTGCTAAGTGCTCACTCATAATAATGAGGAGGCAGACGAGGATCGCGGCGAGGGCGCCCATGCTGAGCTTCAGCGTGCGCCCCTCTTGGACGAGCTCACAATTCTCGCCCCAAAAACCTTCGGGGCAGTGGCAGCGATAGCCTGGTTCACGGTTCACGCAAGAGCCGCCGTTCCGGCACGGGAAGTAGAGGCATTCGTTCTTGTCAACACAACCTTTACCGTCCGATGACAATACCAAACCCTCACCGCAACTGAACACCATTCCAATATAAGTATTAGTGTTGTTATAATACATATAATATTTAATAAATATATGAATAAAATAATAAAAATAAACATAAAGAATAAAGATATTATAATTATTCATATGAATAAGAAAATTATATAGTAATAATTAAGGAGTAAGAAAATAAGTTACACAAATATGTTATACTTATTTAAAATTATTCATCATGATAATCGTGTGTGGAACTCAGTGCGCACTTAAAAACAAAATACAAAACGAACTTCATAATTAAAACATAAAAATTAGACACTGATTTATCTGACTTACGTTCAATATTAAAAATACATTATCTGCTTTTTAGTAAATGATTAATAGACTTATTGTGAAATCAATTTTAATATTTATAGTATTTGAACGTTCATATAATTTTTGACAATTCACATCAAAGATTATAATATAGTTATAGATTACATAGCAGAAAATGTATCGATGATCGTTTAGAAAATTAATATTTCGTCTATTTGTAGTTGCGATACTATCGTTGTTACCAATTTATCAGATTTAACGTAAGTCAGGGCAAAATTAATAAAATTATTATTGAAAATAGAGGCTTATACTCACGTGCATTCGTATTCGTTCCAAAGATCCACGCAAACAAATGGTTCCGTGCAATGGACATTTATGCAAGGACTGTTAGATGGACAATTGCGGTCCAAGTTTCTAGCCATTGTCGCCTGTCCCCATTGAGTTCCATTCATGGCAGGAGGTAACGGTAAATGTTTTCCTTCTAACCGTATATCATCTAAACAACCTTTTTGGAAATCCGCGTAGACTTCAAAAGTTCTAACACCAGTGTATTCAGCTTTTCCACCGGCGTATACACCTTCCTGTTTATCTACTAACAACCACTGGTGTCCTTCAAAAGTGAAGGTCTCGTTGTATCTTCTGCCCTCTCCACCGTCGATCTCAAGCGTTGCCGCACTTCCATAGCGGCTAACTCGAGCTATATGCCACTGACCATCATCCACAGCAACCGAATTCAACCACACATCTCTCTCTTCAGTTCGTAACGAGTTCAGATTGTAGCGGAAATGTAAACGTGCATCTTTCACTTCCAATATGCCATATTCACGGTTGTGTTGATCGCTTACTCTAAACAGTTCACCGTGTGGCTCACGAGTTCTGAATCTCAGTTGAATTTGTGTGCTAAACCGATCTGGTTCGAAACTAAGTGCAAATTTTACATAACTTTGTGGTCTGAAACTTGTAGGAGTAGTGGGTAAATTACATGAAGGACCGGTCCATCCTGGCTGGCACTGGCAACGTGCTTCAGAGAAGCTACCTACACAAGTTCCATGTTCCCAGCATCTAGAAGTGGTGTCGGCTTGATTACAAATCTCTTCGGTTTGTGGACACCCTGCTACAGAATTTCTTGATAGTCCTGGATGTGCCAAGTCATATAATTTACTATTGTGAACCAAATTTCGTATACATCCATCGAATCCTTTTCCTATTGGCATGTATTGCCAGTGATAATGTGTAGGGTCAAAGTGTTCTATATATAAACCACCGACTTGTAAAGGAGCATTTACGTTTAAGTATTCGTTAAAAGGAGGAATCGTTCCAGTTGCTTGACATGTTGTATCGTCAAATTCTGGAGGTGTGCCATCTTCCATTTCTTGAATGTCAGCAGATTTACAAAAATCAACGATCATTCGCACATTTTCTGTATCCCAAAAGATATCTATTCTATGCCATTCGCCATCATCTAATGACTTCTTTGTTTTTACTCGCAACTCCAACGTGCCTGATCCAAAATCTATTAATAATCTTGGATTGCCTCTTTCTAATTCTATAGATATAAAATCAGATACCATTATCTCTTCAGGTTCAGGCGGTACTATAGGCCCATTATATATTAAAACACCTTCTGATTTTCGTGTAATGAATTCAAAACTCAAATGGGAGTTATCGCACATTTCTAAAGCAGGGTACCATGCCCATCCTGTGCCTCTAAAACTTCTGGAAGTTTGTTGACATCTTGGGCCGGTGTATCCAGGAGGACAGGAACAAGTAAGTCCATATTTTCCTTCAATACATCGGCCACCATTATAACATGGAGAGTTTCGGCATGTTTCAGCTTGTGTAAAGTTTCGAGCACCACACGTACATTCAGCGATTACATCTACACGTACACCAACTAATGCAGTTTTGTTTGCATTAACCATGTAAGGCAGATTACTAATGTCAAGAACATTGGTGCAAGATCCTTCACACATTTGGTTTTCATATAAGCATTCATCTATGCCAACCATAGTAATATTGATTCCAACTGCTCCTTCAATTTCCTCTCTATGCATTAGAACAATACCATTCAATCTTATTGGTTTATAATAGTGAGCACCATGTGCTGAAAATCTTATGTCGGTTACAGGCGGATGTTTCTTTCTCAACTGTACACTAAATACATCAATATTTTCACGTTCAGTGTTTAACAAATCTGCTAATTTATCTTTAAATATGTCTAATTTACTTCTAGATACACTAAGGGTTTTATAATTCCATACTCTAATAAAATCTTCATCAGATATTCCCGATATTCGAATGGAACCTGAATTAATGATAGCTTCATGAGATATTTCTTTCACGTATACAGTTACATTAGCAGGTACATCTGTTTGTGTGTGTTTTCTATCATAAACTTTGAATTTCAAATGGTATCGACCTTCTCTTGTTTTATGTTTCATTTGTATCATTCCAGTTTCTTCATTTAAGGTGAAGTTCGGATGTTCCGTACTCTCCCAGAAGAATTTTTTATCAGGAAGATCCCAATCATCAAGATCATAAACATATACTCGTCCGATTTCGGTATCTGGAGCTTGACCTTGATAATTATAGACCAGGATTTCTTTCGATCCAGGCTGCATTTTATTGTCATTTACATCTCCAATGACAACAGTAAGTGTACTAGTTCCAGTCATGGCAGGATTACCGTGATCTTTAATAATGATTGGAATCAAATATTCCTTTTGTTGTTCTCTATCAAATGATCTAAGTGATGAAACAATAGCCATACCGTCGCCATTAGCACCCTTTTGATCTTGTTCTACTTTAAAGGAAGCTCTTATTATATCATCTGCTCCTGGGTCTAATCTGAACTGGAAAGGCGGGCCATTGCTTTTTGATCTATCGTCATCGTCTGTAGCTAAAATTTCAGCTACTTTCTTAGGCGTAATATGTTCGGTCAAAACTGGCCTATAATCTTTTAAGAATGTAGGCGCATTATCATTAATGTCTTGTACAATCACAGTAAGTGTAGCAGTAGCAGTTCTTGGAGGTACGCCATCGTCTATCGCTAAAATTTTCACTTGATGACGTGGTGTATCTTCTCTGTCTAAAGATCTTTGTATACTTACAGTACCTTCTTGGTTTATTGAAAATTGGCGTTTTCTATCTGATGATCTATCGATTGCATATGAAACTTTACTTTTACCTCCTTGATCAGGATCTGTTGCTTTAAAAGTTTCTAAGCTTTTACCCACTTCAGCGTTTTCGTAAACAGATACTTCAATATTTGCCCTTTCAAACTGTGGTTTATTGTCATTTATATCTCTTAACTTAACTACGACCCAGGAATAAGCTACATGATACTTGTCATTATCATTATCTTCACCCTTATCATTAACTTGTATTCTAAATCTGAAGCCATTACTTTGTAATTGGTCTTCATAATCTAAAGGCTGCACTATTTTAAGTGAACCAGTACCATCGTTGTTTCGAACCATAGTAAATTTATCAGCACCATATCCACTATTTTCAATCACTTTGTATTGGAACTTATTCGTTTCGTCTTCATCGTGTACTGTTACCGTTAGAATAGGCATTTCTGGTAAGTTCGTTCCATCAGTTTCGTCAACCTCAGTGAACCATTCATCTTTCGTAAATTGAGGCGGCATATCATTAATATCTTTCACTCTTATAGATGCTGTACCTGTCCCCTTTAACCCACCTCCGTCGGATGCTACTATCTGTATAGAATAATCAGGTGTTCGTTCGCGATCTAAACAGCATACTGCAGTTTTTATAACACCCGTTTCTGGTTCAATTTCAAATATGGGAGAACCTGTTTCTTCTTCTATCACATTCTTTTCAATAGAGTACATAAGTTTGGCATTATTGCTTTCTGCTGGATCATCGTAATCTATTGCAGTCATTGTCATAACAACCATACCAGCCGTGCCATTTTCTGTAACGTTACCAAAGTATACGCCTTGTGGGAATATAGGAGCATTATCATTTATATCTTTGAGATTAACTTGAACATCCGCATATCCTACTAGACCTTCACCGCCTTCATCTTGAGCAAATACAGTAAATCTCCATTGCGGTCTTCCATTTGGTTGATCACGATCTAAAGGCTGTAAAAAAAATATATTGCACTCAGTGAATTCTAATACAATACACTAATATACTTCAACTTAACGAAATGAGTTTAACGGTCAATCGTGTCTCTTATTATAGAAATATCTATGTTATCAGGATGTCAAATATACTAATGCAATATGTGTGATTGCACTCTTAGTATGCAAAGCACGTATCGCTGCTAGTCGGCTAGCTAAAACATGGAGACCATGATCTCGTCGACGACGGGCATATTGCAAACTATATCTACAGATTGCAGGCACGTATATTTGTAATATATGGAAGAAATACCCGCATGGCAATTTAATTTTACCTTGAGCACGAAAATTTCTCCTGTAGTTCGATTGATATCAAATTTGCTGTTTGCGGGATTGTCAGGATCTATACCCTGACCAGTGAGGAAATAAACAATATTCTGTTGCCTGTCTTTGTCTCCATCTGTAGCCGTCACCTGGTAAGATACATAATAACATTAATATAAAAAAAAACCAAACAAATCGGATTATATTACAAACAGGTATTTTACAACTATCTAGAAAAACAAGGGTAAAAACATCAAGTTAATAACTACAGCTTCAACATGAAATGCATGCATACTTGCATTTATATGCTAATAGATGAGTAAATTATAAATTTAGCTTTCATTAAAATTTATAAACATTTACAAAAATATTTAGAATTTTATTAAAATATGTATCCGTTTTATTGTAATTATTAATTAAATAGAAAAATACTAAATAAAATACGAAATTTTGTCACCTTGTGTCCCGTTTTAATCTTATACATTATACTATTTTACAAAAAACATATATGTTTTAATATGAAGTTATTGTAGAGTTGCTTTAGATATTATCGCTTTACATAGAACGTGTCTTTCGTTTACTACGAATTTAAAATGTGTCCATTAATATTAGCCGTGTCGTTTTTGTAAGTAATTAAACTTTGAAGCTTCCATAAATGTAGCTTCTTAAATCGTAGTTGATTGGCATTAGATACCGAGAATACAAAATTAATTTTTAAAAGATAACATTAATTTCATTTCAGTATGACCGAACATTTTGATTTCAATCAAAACTTTATTAATACGAGCTTCTACCGGTGACTCTGCCTAAATAGAATTTAGAATTATAGTTCAAGAGGGACGTTTTCGCGGGTGGTTCTATTGGTATCAGGTTAATATAGGTATATGGAATTAATTTTATTTAAGTATCTGTTATTAGCAGCATAATTTAAGAGAGATAATTTATTGTAATAATAATATGATGTAACGTCAAAATACATTATTATGACGGACGATGATTTTTTTAAACTAAATTATTGTATCATAGTAAACAAAGACGGAAGTTTGCCAAAGTTTTGAACCTACCAACAATCTAGATAGCAGTGCCGTTGGCCGGTGCTAGACGGAAGTGTCACAAACTATGCTCTTTTTAAGGTTTCACACAAAGAAGCTGCGAAAGCGTAAAAGTTTCTGCGCACTATTTAGAGAAGATATGGCAAAAGCCCCAAGGAAAATTGAGCCAATAATTTTCCTTAACTAAAAAGTGTCTTAAAATATGATTTGTGGATAAGGAAGTTTGGACTGAACCGATATATCTTCGAACATTTTGTAGCGTATTATATCGTACGCTAGGAAAATATTAAATTGCTGTTTACTTTGTGTAAGGAGCTTTGTTCATTGCGTTTGAGAAGAATAATAATAATTTATATTTTTTCAACCTGGACAGCACAACTTTACATTGTTACCAATCAGGGAATGAACTGAAAAAGTGATTGATACCATTTGGTTTACATTAAAATAAATAAGAGAAAATTTGATATATTTATGTCATACAGAAATGAAGATACAAAAAAGCTGGTTAACTCGTTGTTTCGATTAAAACTGATGTGAATCAGTTGGGTTTGGGACGTTGCTAAGCAACATGGTCGTTAGATGCACACGCGTCCTTTGTGCCAAGTTCTCACTTCCATAACGTATATGTAATAAGGGAAGTCTCCAATTACGAAACGGGCAGAGATGAAGAGGGTCGACGTTTGCGTAATTACTCGGATCATTTGCGAATCTCTGCCCAATTATAAAAAAAGCTTGTCACTACAAGCGACTTGGGACGAGGGCTTTACGCCAATGCTGATCAGACATTTAGGTGATTGAGTATTTTTATGTCCACCCCGTAACGAAGTCTAAATTTTGAACGACGTTTAATTCTCCATTAAAATAATAATGATGTTAATTTTCCTAACAAACAATTTTTTTCGTAACAAACTCTCGATTGTAGGAACAAAAGTAAAATAAGCGAAAGCCAAATTTATAGTATTACATTAGGATTCCAACAAGCCTTATTATTACAGGTTTGTTAGTAAAAAGAAACAAAAGCATAATAATTTTGCAACTTACCAAAATTAACTCACCTTAAGATACCTTCACCATTATCTGTTACTATAAGCGATTAACGTTCTAACGCATGGTCTAAAATAACTTGAAATTAAAGATAAATTTTAAAAAGTTCAGTTATTATACAACATTCACGCCATAGATCCCTTGCTGAATTTGTATAGCATCAATGTTGCGGCAGCATGAGACAGATAATACACATATAAGATAAAAGCTAATCGATTGAAGCGCGTCGAAGAAGACGAAATAAAGGAGGTTAAGAAAAAACAAAATCTTCGCACATAATAGGGATAATGACTGAGTTGAACTTTTTTTTGCTGTAATCTATCAAGATATGCTTTAGAATATAGGCAAAAAAGTAGAGGAGGACACGTTACATCACAACTATGTATAAAATATAAAAAAAATACGAGCTTAATATTCTTCAATAATCTAACTGATGGACGAACAAACAAAAATTAGTTAACATCCCAATTACGAGCCGAATCATCATAATCGTATTTCATTTGCAAGGTGTACATATAATTTGACACTTTCACCTCCTTTGGCTCGCATTGATCTTGATCAACCTAAACATTATTCATACAGGCTTATTAAAACGAACCAACTTTGGCATTACTCGGTCTAAGATGTTACCCTGAAACTCTAAAGATGGGTTGCTACTACATCAACTACAATAGTTTCACAAGTTGCCTTGCCCTATCCGTTGATACGATTTTAATATCTCCAAGGGACCTGGTTTTAATATTGCTCGCAGACTAGCTTGAGCACATAAATTTCTATTTAAACAGAATAAAATAAATATAAAAAGGGAAAGTCTTTTAATCATAAATATTTATCAATATATATGTGAGAAGAAGACAATTATTATGACCAGAAAAAAGGTTTTCTATTTCAACTTTTATACGTCAAATGAAAAGAAATATTCAGTAAATAAAACTGGTATAATGGATCATTATCCTCCGTTTGAATCGTAAATATATCTTAACAATATTTAGTTAATAAACCACAACATGTATTATTTTGAAGGGTAAAAGAAATATGAAAATCATACATAAAGACTTTCATAAGAGTCCGAGTATAGGGTACCGGCCATATAAGTGGTGATCGATCACTCATGAATAGGTAGCGGTATACAATGTTTGAAGGACTTTGAAGTCGGTACTTCATATCTTAATAAATTTTATATAGGTTAGTAATTCGTCAAAATAATACTAAAAAAACCGACATCTTATTTAGTATCTTAATTTTAGACGTTTAAGAAAAACAATCTTACTACTAGGAAACAACATATCCCAGATATTAAGGAATTATATCGAGAATTTGTAAGATGTAGGAAACATCTTAAAATATAGCAACAAAATAATGTGGTCTTTCCATGTTGAAAATAAAATAAAACCAAAATAAATAAAATAAAAAAAAACCTGTATCAAAGAATGGGGGTAAGGTCCAGTTTCCTCGAGTGCTTCCGTGATATATTGGCTGCGCGTGAACTGCGGCGGCAAATCGTTCACGTCCAGCACACGCACCAGAACCTTCGTGGAGTTCTCGTTGCGTCCATCCGATGCGACCAGCGTCAACTCGTACTACGCACACTCACACTTTAGCACACACATGCCCATGCTCACTAACTAATATAAAAAAAGGTTCATACAATCTACGAAAGTGCTTGATAATAATAATCAATTTTATTAAAATATCATGCACGTTCGAAAACTGTATGAGGTGTTACTTACAATATGTATTCTAAAATAAAAATAATAAATTATTCAAATTTGAATTGTTTTAATGATAAGTTTCCATTTTCATTGATTTATTACAATTATCTCGGGTTCTTTGTATCGTAATGAAGATAATTGTGATGAATTGTTTTATCGATAATATTAAGGGTCTTTATATAATTTAATAATTCAAGAGGATGGTTTATATTTGACATTGTTATTAAACGTTTAAGTACATTTTGACTATCTATAAAAATGATATCAACCAATATCATAAAATATACTTCGCCGAGGGGTATGCATCGTAAAATTCGGATTTATACTGCAGATAACTTGCTCTGCAATTTTGTACTGGCTGTTTTTTACAGATATGTAGGCACTATGTTGTATAAATCACTAGACGTGCAAATGATAAATCGTAGCTCTTTTATAAGTGTCGTGTCTAAAAATTTTGTCGTGTAAACAAGTTCAAACGTTTGGCTTAAAGCTGGGGTGAATTATTCTCAATGAATGAGTTAATTTATACTGTTCAACCAACTTAACTTCTGAGGTCTGTGCTGTAATTGAAGAGTACAATTTCTGATCGCAGTTATGGTTCTACGAGCAGCTGTCGAAGTTCCCGTCATTATCGTTACAAGAATGTTTAAAAACCAACAGACCCGACTCAGAATTTGTTTTTTTAAAAAATACTTTC